TATATTTATATTTATATTTATATTTATATTTATATTTATATTTATATTTATATTTATATTTATATTTATATTTATATTTATATTTATATTTATATTTATATTTATATTTATATTTATATTTATATTTATATTTATATTTATATTTATATTTATATTTATATTTATATTTATATTTATATTTATATTTATATTTATATTTATATTTATATTTATATTTATATTTATATTTATATTTATATTTATATTTATATTTATATTTATATTTATATTTATATTTATATTTATATTTATATTTATATTTATATTTATATTTATATTTATATTTATATTTATATTTATATTTATATTTATATTTATATTTATATTTATATTTATATTTATATTTATATTTATATTTATATTTATATTTATATTTATATTTATATTTATATTTATATTTATATTTATATTTATATTTATATTTATATTTATATTTATATTTATATTTATATTTATATTTATATTTATATTTATATTTATTCATAATGGTAAAATACTTAAACCCGGGGTTGGAAAACTGGTGTCCTAAACCAATGTAGACAAGCATTTAAATTTGCACTTCATTGGCTGGTAGCGTCACCTGCTGGATGCATCTAGAGGCATTACACACTACAGCTAATCAAACAGCTACAATAGGCTGTTTTTGCTTTCCTTAGATAATATGTACAATACTACAAAAATTGATTACTTGCATTAAATAATATGCTTACTCCTCCAATTTGTAGTTTCTAGAAAATAAGTTAATATTAAATTAAATGGAAAGTTCAAGATTTTTAAATTATCTCAAGTAATTTTTTAATTAATAAAAATACAAGTTATGTTTTAATATTTGTGAGTATTCATTTGAGGTTGTATTATAATTCTTTCAAGTGTGGGTAAAATTGGCTGTTTTTTTTTAATATTATTTTTTGCATTGAATTTTTCAAATAAATTTGTGAGAATTTTTCTTTAAAAATTATATTATTTAATTCACTAATTAATTTTAGATATAATTAAAAAATCAAATTTTTTCAAACTAACTTAGTCCTGCTTACTCTTAAATGATATACTTCTTTTAGAGATCCTGCTCGACAACGTATTTGAACTTATAGTTAAGAAATTTTCAATTCAAAATTAACACTCAAAATCTGTGATTCAAAACTCTACGAGAAGTAAGACGTATTGTTTCTAGAGTAGTATTATTTATTGTGAATAGCAATTATCTAAATTTAAGTGTCTTATGCAAGTGTTTATGTAGAACAACAGCGGTAATCTTCGGAGAGAATTTTCGTAGGGTCATAGAACAATTTTTAAAAGAAAAATTCGAATTAATTTATAGATAGATATGACGCGAAATCTCTAAAAGTATGCTTTCTCATTCAATTATGTATCGATGCAAGATCGTTACTATCGTAAAAAATATGAAAACAATTTTTTTTTTTTTTCAATATTTTGGAATAACCATTTATTGAACAATTTTTTTCTAAACACTTGCCTCGTGCAACCATATTTAAAAAAAACTTTTTTGCGATATGATTTACGTTTAATTTAGCGTCGCCAAGCTAGCAGCGACAAGACCCATCTTGGACGGATTATTGATTTTTCGGAATCTAAACAAGCAACAATATTCTAAATGGAGCAACTAATTAGCATCAAATTTAGCACTACAAATAAATTTTGTTGCTTGAATAATAAGTCAATGCATTATGGATGAGTCCATGCTAGGTAAGGTTGATAGACCTATTTAATTAAATTGTATATTTTTTTTTCAGTTTTTTACACTAACGATGATCTCCGGACAGATGTGGAATCATATTAGAGGACCTCCTTTTATTCACAAGGCACCAAATGGAAATGTTGTATATATACACGGGTCATCTCAAGGTCAATTTGTTTTGGAGAGTTATATCGTGATGATTCTTAGTATCCTTTAAATTAAATTACCTATTACAATTGATGTTAATTCATTTATTGATAATATTTAGTATTTTTTCGAGAGATATCTTAAAATTATCGGTATTTTCGAATGTTTAAAATAATTTTTTTTAAGAAAATTTTTTAAGAAAATAATTATCAAAAATTTAGAAAGTTATTGCTTCTGAACCGTTGCCATATGTTGCTAAATTAAGTTTTTTAAAAATGTTAGCTTTCTATGTTATAAAATAGTATTATTGTTGTCAAAGTGATGTCAATGAAAACTTGAGAAGCCATTGTTTTCAGTCTAATTTTAAGAAATTGAGTTATTTTTTCAAAATCAAAATGTCAACGTTTCAGAGAACTATTTTGATATTTTTTAAAAAGATTTGTTCGCAATTTTTTTAACTTTTTTAAAAGACTTTTCAACTACTCAATCGATTAATCATAAATCAATATCATAATTCAAATATCTCAAAATTATAAAAAAAAAATTAAAAAAACGGTTGACCCTGAAAGCCATCCCTGCAACTTCCCGCTAATTCCATACCTAGGCGCTTAAAATTGCACTTATGACGTTTTCGAGCTCAAAAATACAATTTATGTGTTATTTTGAGCTCTCCGAGCTCAAAGAGATAGCTTTGCTATGCTTTTGAGCTCTTCGAGCTCAAAAGTCTTATCAAAATTCGATGAAACACGATTTTTCTAATTTTCAAACTACTGTAACTTTTTAATAAATCAACCGATTTCCACGCGGTAGGCGGCGATCGATGTGGTTTTTTGAGCTCTATAAATGATTCTAAACAAAAAAATTGATCTGATGAAAAATTTCGGAGTTATTACAAAAAAACACTTTTTTCGATTTTTTTCGACAACGATATCTCACGAACGCATCAACCGATTCTGACGCTCTATCTGGCGATCGATGCAGGATTTTAAGGTTAAGAGCTGATTAGTTTTCGAAGTTGATCGGTTCAGCCAATTCGGAGATATTTAAAAAAAATGAAAAAAAAAACAACTTTTTTTTCACTTTTTTTGCAATTTCTCGAGATCTACTGGTCCGAATCGGTTCCAACTTACAAGAAATCTAAGTTTGGCGAAGCCCTTTCGGATGACACCAACCGCGATGAAATCGGTCAAGCCATTCAAAAGTTACGAGAGGTTCACACACACACACACACACACACACACACACACACACACACA